TCTGTGGTGATGTGCTAATCAGCAGTGCATTGATAACTAGAGAAATGCTGGCAGTTGAAAGGTTGATGCTAAACTGCATCGCTGGTTTAAATTTGTATGGAGAAGCAGCTGAAGGAGAATGAATAATGGTTTGCAATGTAGTATCTTTTAGGAGATTGTACAATAAAAGGATAAACCCAGCACTGAATGACTTTTGTTATTATTGATCAATTTTCCATGTTGATAACCAACATTGATCAAATTAATAATGTCTGGATTATCTTTAGAGATCTGGTTTCAAAGAGTCACACTGATACATCCAGCTTCAAACATTTTTCCATGAACACAAACCAAATTTGGACTGAGAAGGTCAAATTGGGATCAAAAATCCCCTATACTAGTCAGCATCCAGTTCAAGTGGAGGGGAAACATCTCTTCTCAACCACATCCAGATGAAAATCCACAATTCCAAAGTGCCTCCAACTCTATTCCACTGACAAAAACAAAAGTTATCTTATATACCCTCAGCTGCTATACACTCATCATTTTTATGTTTTTGTTATTCTCTTTCCCTGTCTAGCAGCAAAGACCACCTACAAGCTAGAGAAGGTGCTAACGAATGTATTGTGTCTCTGCTGCCTCTTTATTCGCTGGGTCCAGTATCTAAAACCTCCAGGCACTGGTACCACTAATGTTAAACTTTAGCTTCCAGCCCTTTACAGACTGTTTTCCAGCATCCCAATGAATAGACAGACAGTGATTCGGAGAACTATCAACACAGGAGATGAGCTGGAGAAGACAGAAAGGGTACAAAATGTTCTTGTGAAGAAAGTGTGTGTGTGTGTGTGTGTGTGTGTCAGACTCACATAAACTTAAAAAAACCAACACTTTTAGGAAGAGGAGTAATAAGAGTAATAAGAGTAATACAAGTATGGAGGGAGCTGAGAAATGTTAATGGGGCCACACAGGTTAGGTGAGGTTTGCTTTCAAAGTGAATGTTTTAAAAGTAGCTATAATAAGACAGGTTAACATTTGAGTTTTAGTGTTATTATCAGTATTACAGAAGCACAAGGAACAGGCAGGAGAGGTAGGTAGGAAAAGGATCCAGATAAACAGAAACAAATATACAAATAACCAGCTGGTGGTTGAAAATACAGAAAACACACGTAAAAAAAACCCAAAAAACACCTGATTGTCACAAGTCTGTGGCAGAGGATATGGATCTGTCCGTCAATCGCACTCCTTCCTTTTGTGTCCAGATGTGTCATAAATGAGAAACATCACATTACCCACTTGACTTTATTGGTTATTTAGTCAATATGTTTCTTATATAACCTGAGTTCTTGTTTATGATCAATCATACAGTCAAGGTAGTTATCTAAAGGGGAGGAACTATGAGCTGCAGTAAGGATATAATTCCTACAGTTGATTTTAATTCAGGATATTTGAGCTCTATTTTCCAAATTCCTCCCACAGCAACATAAATATATTTTTTCCTGGAAGTAAGGTTGTTTTTTTAATGCAGTAATATAACAAAGTAGTTATGGCTGATTTAGAAACATATGTGTAATTGTGTATGAGGGGGATAATGCTGGGGTTATAATGTGCATCGCTCTTTTGTACTTCCACAGAGATTACAAACTAATTATGTACCTTTTTTCTAATGGATGTTCTGCTTTCTCGTTTGTTGCTATGTGATTTGTTGCCGTGTAATATCCTGTGCTCTTGGTTATGCAAGATCTCTCTTTCTCTGTCTCGCTCCCTTTTGATTGTGCCTTGCACTGTGTGTTTCCACTGCTGCAGTTTCCTGGTGGCTTTGTTCCCACTGTTCTTGGAGAGCTACAAAGAATGCCTGAAGATGCCAGTCAAGCTCCAAACTAATTCAATTAGGTGTTTGAATGAAATCCACAGGTGGAGAACCGTCCAGAGAGCCGAGCGGATGGACGGTTGTGGGGAGAGGATGTTTTTGCTCTAATTAATTAAAACTCTATTCAGTATAGTTCCTCTTCCAAGCGGCTCCCACAGACGTCCTGGTCAATTTGGCATTGGCTGAAGGCTTGCATAACTGGAGGAGCAGTGACTTCCCCCCTGTTTGTGTTTTACTTGCATAATAGGTTGAGCCCTAAGTGGTAGAGTTGTTGATGTCACACTGCCAGGCTAGGGCCTCATTTCAACCTATATATATTTCATACAGTAGAAAGATGAACAACGTGTGAGGTAGTTATAGCTGCAATGATACTGAGTGGTGGAGAGACACAGACCCAAATTCCCACAAATATAATTAAAGCTGCATCTATTTTTTATGACTTGGGGGTAGCGGAACAAGCTGTAAACACAAAATTGACATATTCTGACCTCATACCTTGTGGTAGCTGTGGCTCAGGAGGAAGAGTGGCTCGCGTACTGATCTCAGGTTTGGAAGTCCGATCCCCAGCTCCTCCTGGACACTTATTAAGTGTTGCTTAACCTCAACATGCCCCAGATAGTCAGGCCAGCACCTTGCATTGAAACTCTTAAGTTGTGTGTGTGTGAGTGTGTGTGGATTGGTGAAGGAGAGGCTTTGGATAATAACTCAATATAATCGCAGCCATTTATATAAAGTGGTTACGGTTATATGATCATATGGTAGCAAAAAGTTCCCTTTTCACACATTTGGCAGACATAGAACAATGTTAGCATTTATATGGAGTCGTGTTTCTGGTAACCTGGGAGATATAAGCCCAACATTCACTCTTCTTTTAGCTCTGATCTGATCTCCACCAACTCCTCAGGGAAATATCGGTTTCTAAATGCTTAACCATGTGCATCACCTAATGTCTTACTCTGCTGTTTGCCTGTGGGCAGGTATATTGTAAAAGGAGTTTATCTGAGCTTTTTGCTGAAAACACCTGCCTGTGGCATGTGGAAACAGTTTAAGCAGGGTTTAACATGCTCTGGTCCTGCAAACAGTTCTTAAATTTTAGGTGCTATAAACATTCCAGTGAGCTCACAAAAGTATGAAAGGTCACTATGAATCCACAATTGTTGGATGCCCTAAGCCACTGTCATCATCACCAAGTTGCCAAACATGTTGATGGATGAGTTCAGTGGTTGATAAGACAATAGTAGATCACAGGAACAGAAACAGGATTATTGACAAGTAGACTTTCAACAAGGGATTTTCCTCTGTGTTGTGGTACAGTCAAAATATAGATAGTAAGATAATAGAAACATAACAATTGATTTTTATCAGCTGTTGCATAACTCAAAGAAATGTGCCCCTAAACTGGAGAGATCTGGTCTACTGAAGAGTGTTTTTCTAAGATGGTCTTATTGTGGAGCTCTTGTGACATAACCCACCATGATGCCTATAGTCCGTATCTGACAAGAGAAGGTTGTCTAAGGGGACAGAGAATGACCTCGCTTTTGTCCTCTGAGACAAAAAGGAGGCATTGTCTTCTCAGACAGACTGAGTAGAAAGTAACGAACCCACTCACTGTTCCTTGAACAAGCTCCAAGGACAGTGGGGAGGCTTGTTTCTCTGTGTAATCTGTGTAGATGTCATTTAGATTGGTGTTGTTCTTTCTCTGCACTATGCTGACCTTTGCAAATGCCTGAGTGCTGATCTACGTCATCAAAATCAAAGCTGCACTTGAGAGTTTTACAGTCTTTGTTCTCTGCACCCAAGTGGCAGAGTGTAAAGAAATCTAGACAAGAAGTTAAAATGAGATGTCTGACTTTCTGCTGTACTAAACTCATCATGCTGATACATTTATTTGGAAAAATGCTTTTTATTAAGAAGTACCAGAGAAAGTAATAGAAAAATAGCATGAAAAAATAAGTGCAAGTTTCCCAGAGTTGTTGTCAATATTTAGTAGCCTAAACCTTCACTCCCACTGTAATGTAGATCTGGAGGATCACACACAGGGTAGGAGCCCAGAGGGGTATAAGCAGTCTACTGACCCCGTTCTGCATGTTCCACGCCAAATGAAGATCATCTACTGGAGACTGACACTACCAGGTGCACCAGTCCAGTTTACGTGCTCAGTCTGTGGACTTCCACAGTCGGAAAAACTTACACGTAGCCACATTCACTATCACGTCACACTGCATGACAGATGTAAGATCAGGAGAAAGATGTAAAAACCGGAGGGGAGAAGTCTCAGTTAGCTTTGCACAGATAGAGCTGAAATGTCCTTCAGAGAAAAGAGCCTATACTTTTATACTTAGTAGTTTTCAGAGCCCGAACTTCCCCCACTTTTACTTTAGTAAAAAAGCTAAGTCAGTAGTTACATACCTGAGGTTATCTAATGCACCATACCAATGTGTCAGCAGCGCAGTCATACTTTGCAGTGACAGTACTGCAGTGTTCACCATGCTGGTTCTTTCCTTCTCTGGTGCGAATGTGAGCATCATTGTCAAGTGTGTGTTTGAGCGTGTGTGTTTGTTTCCTCACATGGGTGATGCATCTGTGGTTTTCCCACCATCTGTCAAAGGCAGGGTAAATGAGGAAATTTAAAATAGAAGCTGAGTAATACATCGAGGAGAGAAACTGAGATTCGGTTGGGTCCAAAAAGCAAACACACCAGTCTCTGTCTCACTCTCTCAGCAGCATACACACACAGGCACACACACACACAAATTGCAAAACCTACTGGCAGGCTTGAGTGTCCCTCTAAAGTATTTGTCTATTGATATCTGTCTGGAGCCTGGCAGCTTGTCTCCCCCCACTCTCTCTCTTTGTAGATTCAAGTTCATGACCTGTTATGTAATCAGATTCTCAACCGTTGTACAAGATGTTGGACCTTAAAAATATGTAGTTTTTTTTTACTTTTCCTAATATCTAACGTAAATGCGCCATATTTCAAAAGGTAGGCCTACAAGTATTCAAGTACCAAGTAATTCATTTCCACCACGCTGCTCTACTTCTGCTTTCACTATTCGCATTCAAATTGGTGGCCGCTACAAAATCCCCCTTGTTACCATGGCATCCAAAAAGCTACTTCCGGAGTAGTGAGCCAATCAGAGTCATCGGCCAAAACCGGAAAATGCACCCTTGAAAGCGAACGGGGCTCCGTAAAGCGACCGTGGATGAAGAGGTAATTTTTAATTTTCGCACAGTTACCAGAAATTAAACTGCTTGGATACTTTAACGCAGCTGAGTTATTGAGTAAGGGGAAGTGCAGGCGCCGTGACGTTAACGTTAGATAAAAGAAGAACAGAACCAGTAGTGGCTCTTTCCCATTAACACTGTACTGGGAATAACCAACACTAGCTCCGTCACCAAGGTTACCGCTAACCAGCAGGTGTTTGGTAAATAGGCTAACTCAGCGGGGCTTTGTGCACCGTTAGGGTCAACAGGGAGCCCTTTAAAGAGCTGGTCGTTGCAGTCTGAGTAATGTCATGTATGGTGTGGAGGAAGGGCAAAGAAGAGAAAACAATCAGTGAGGTATGGTTATAGTTTGCCAAAAAATTACTTATTTAACGTGAAATAAAGTTAAGGAAACACTGAGAAAAGACTGTTTCACATTAGGTTAGTGCCAGTGTTTGAGTGTTTGCTGTGTGTGGCTGTTGTATCGAGCTTAGAGTGTCTTTGGTTGTATCTTTTAAAGGTGCAAACATTTTTAGCTTTGCTGGACCTTACCTGAGACTCTAATATTACATCACATAACCTGGATTAATCATCAGTACTGTCCCGTCATAGGCCTGCAACTAATACTTCTGTATTATTTTATGATTAATCTGCCAATTATTTACTTGATGAAACAATTCATGTTTTTTATTATATTGCATAAAACAGTGAGAAATGTGTGTCACAGTTTCCCAAGGTGTAGCCTCTATTCCACGTACAGAGCAAATCTTCACAGGGGAGAAGCAGAGAGTCTTAAAACTACTTAGTAATAGTAATAATATCTACTCGTTTCCGCTCTGGCGTTTATTTCATTTGCCTGTCTTTACTACACTGCTTTCCATTTGGTAACTTATCTTTCTAATAATAAACCATTTGACTGATGTGATTATGTCAGAAGTTGAGTTGGCATCCTGCAGTTTTAATTAAAATTCAGTCCAACCAATGAACATGTCCTTTTTCACAGGAGTCCATTAGAAACCTCGAGGACCTCCCGTGATGGATTGGGCTTTTCTTTAGCACGGACATGACACAAGTTAGGGTGAGGATTCCCCCACACACAAAAGGGCTCTGAGGCTTGGCTGGCTCCCCCCATGCTGTGATAGTATTCAGTGTCATTGAAAACTGAAGCCAGGTGATGCTGACAAGCTGCCTTCTCGCTGAAGAAGATATATTGTAGCACCACATATTTCACAGGCACTTCTCATTTTCTGTCGCACGATCTCCCACAGTGCATGTGCACACTGACACTGACACCAACATGTTTATCCATTCATCATATCACACACTGATACTGATAAGATGTATTGAGCAGAGATGGATGATGACTCTTCAAAGTGCATTCATTTTGCTAGTAAAGTACATCAAAAAACACACTTACATACATTATTACTAATATACCGTTTCATTAGTGACACACTCGCAAGCTTAGCAGGTTTTTTCTTTGACTAAGTGAAAATTAATTCTGTACAAATATTTGGGATGGGAATCGGGAACCAGCTCCAAAATAAACAGCGGTTAAAAAGTAGAGCTTTTGTGTCACATGCATGTTTTTTTTCTACTCTGTTTCTACTCTGTTTGTGTTGATGCTGGGAACCTGTGTAGAATCAATAAGGGGATAGATCAGTCAGTTCCCAACCCTAGTAACAGGTTAAATTACTCCTTGAATGCAGCGGTGTACACTGTACACTTTCAAATATTTAAAATTATGGCAAATTTGTATTTTCTTTTAACCTACCTGAGTGCCCCTTACATAACGTAACAGGCACGGCCACAGATCTTGCCTTTGTGGGGCCGCATCTCATTCAGTTATCTGCAACTCTTGAGCCACAGAACGACGAGCATCTGACTCTGGCCCCCTTTAGGCATGCAGCTTCTTGCAGTCAATCATTCAGCCCCTGCTAATCTCCCGAACCTCTGATCTGAGAGCTCTTATTACACATACTCTTGCACGCTGCTATATCTACTGGCATTATGCTGACTGGGATTTAGAGGCTTTAGCTGGGTAACTAACCAGGCTGCCTTTAACAAGATTGGTATGTTTTTTATGTGTATGTATTCAATCGGAACTGATTTACCTTTTTAGGGCATTCCTCAGTGCTCGTATGTGTAGGTCTATGCACTCAACATTGTCACAGAGACGTAGTCACATACTTTATCTTTCTGGCATATGAGGTCACACTGAGATGAGTAACTGGCCAGCAAGCGTTGGATTAGTGACGGAAACATTCTTTGATGATGGGGGTCATAGCATAACACAAATGTGCTGTGTCCAGAAAAGCTTAGAATAGATTCCCTAATGTCTCTCCCACTCTGTTTGCTTAAAAAAGGTGGTTGTTAGACTAAAGACTGGCCCATGTCTCCACAGCCGGACAGAAGAGCTTCCCTCTCAGGTCAAAAGGTAGGGAGAAATAGACAGTTGACACTGGATATGGACAAGATGAAACCATATCAGGGTTGTGTTGTGGAGAGAAAGTAACACTGTGCCGGCACCTCATTTGAGGTATCAAAGTATGGCCTAGGCCTGGAGCCAGCATCGCTTCTTTGACCTTTCTGAATAATTTAGGTACTTACCCCAATCCAACAGGGTGACTGCCAGCACTTACCTTCTCCTTCATGACTGGGACTCACCAGTTAGTCACCATCTCACAGTCATGGAAAGTGTGATGAGTTTTAATCCTGACTGCATATGATAATCTCCTAACCAGCTTCATTTTTTTCTGATGAGTACCTGCGAGCCCAGGCTGCACTTTGAAAGGTGAAGTATGGTTCTGTAACTTTCAGCACTGAGGGGGATTACTCTCCTGTGCCAGGAAAACAAGTTGGCCGGAGAAGGAGAGCCTGGTATTTGTCATTGAGAGGACACTGAGCATGAAGCCGTTGCATTCGATGAGTGGCCGACCTGCTCTGAGTAGCTTGGGCACAATCCTGGGCCTTTGCCAGCTACATTCCTCCCTCCACCTCGCTCCACTTTGCTCCACCTCGCTCCCTCTAGCTCACATCCTACCATCCAGGCAGACCCTCATTAAGTGCCCTTTTGTTGAAGGATTACTGGGTTTATATTTAACCTCTGTTCGGACTATCACTGGACTGTCGAAGCAGTTGTTGGCACTGCCAGCTCATTCAGAATCCATATCTGTGTCTGTCTGGCGTCTGACTCCCTTCAGTGTCTCGCTCCACATTTTCAGCTCTCTGTAATCTTTTTTTTGCCAGTGCAAGACCTAGTTTCTCCCTGTGGAGCCTTCAGCTGCAGTTCATGTGAAGGACCTGAACATCCAGAATTACCACCTCCGTGTTTACATCATTGTCCCTCATGACACTACTCACGTGTGTGTGTGTGTGTGTGTGTGTTTGTGCTGTGTTTGAGGAACATACTGTTCCCTTCCTACTGGGCATAAGAGAGTTAGGCAGAGTGAATTCTAATTTGTCACTGACTCGTTCAGTTCAGTTGTTGGGTTTGGCCGCTGGAGAAATGCACTTAAGCAACTCCTTCATGGCGAAACCACTGTGAGGGTAGAAAGGGTCAGTGGCATGGAAACAACAGCTCTATTTTTGGGGTTGGATTTAGTTTGTGCTTGTGTGTGTTTAACCCGCTTGACCTTTTGTTTAGCGACATAGGCATAGTCATAATCTGAAGTGGTGTTTGTGTGTGTTTTGCAGGTAGAAATGACCTAGCAGGAGTTGTCCTTCGAGGACACCAAGCCAGTCCAAAGGTGTTTGGGCTTCAGGTAGGCAAGGACCTCTCTACCTTCCCATATGAATTTGACCATGTCTCAGGTGTGGTGTTAATATGCCAGGTCATGTTAGTGTTATGTAAGTCTAGTTTAGACAACACACATCACATATATAGGTTAGTGTATCCTATGCAGCGCTGTGGATGCAAATGTCCTCACCAGGGGATAAAAATAAGCTGGTCCTTCATGGTTCACTATATTGTAACTAAACACCAGTCTGTGGGGAAAGTCCATGTAGATGCCAAATATTGTCCTGGCTCTGAGTGGAGATAAGTGAGGGTTGGACATTGTAGATGGACTTGGACAGAAAGTCGGTACAGCCTGTTTTAAGACTGATATAAATGCTTCACAAGGAAGTCATCAGTGGGATGGACTCTGGATCTGATTTAGAAACTACAGCAGTGTGACCTTCTGTTAGAGTTTCACCAGCACGTCCGTGTCTCACAACATACGTGTTACATCATAGCTGAGGTGGTTTGATGGGGGTAATTCTGCCTCCAGTTGCTGTACTTATAAGTAAATCTTATTTATTTGTCAAACTTTAACCATAATAGAAAAAGGGACAAAAACTCTGCAAGTGATCCCAGTTTGCTCAGCCTGTCATAGACCTTGCACATTTTAGCTTGTTTGCAGCTCCAAAGTAGTTATTTGTTTTTGTTACTTTGTGCCAATACGGTCTGGATTACAATGACTGACTAAGGGATGTGTGTCTACGTGTTCTGCTTGCAGGTGTATAATTAGTTTTGCATACAGCAGTGTTGCGTAGAAGAGTCTGCTGTACTTTTCCACTGTACATATTTTAACTGTCCTTTCTTTCTGTCTCTCTGTGGGCCTCAGGTGTTCTTCAGTCAGCCTATTATTGAAACAAGGCCAAGCTTTTCCCATCAGCAGCCACTCAAACCACCATCAGGCCCAGCACCCCAAACCCCAGGAGCCTCAGCGCCCTCTCCACCACCCTGCCTGTGTATCACATGCACTGCTCACTATCCAGGTAAGAGAGAAAGGGAGAGAGTGACAGTCAGAAAGGTATCTAAGTTTGAACATAATTGATGGTTGAGATGTTAAAGGGGAATCCTACAGTGGACTGCAGGTGATGGGGAACACTGTGGGGGGAAAAAAGTGCGCAGGCCAATTTTTTGTCCAACCTGCAGTGGATTGAGTGTTGTCTACATTATGTCAGATGGCTGGGCAGACTGCTGGTTTGAGGACATGAAGCGCTTATTGCGGTGGATAAATGCTGCGATTTGGGGGAAGATTGAGGACTGGATGTTCACTTAACAAAGGGATACAAATGACGGCTGCATTAGGGCAAAGGGGTGTAGATTTTGTCTGAAGGGGAGGGGGGGGTCTTGAGAGGGGGATGTGGTTGGGCTCTTCTGTAATCCTCTGACATGTGCGCTCTTCCTCACGTGCACACACAAGCACTGCAGTGCAGAGCTGTCTATGGCACAGAAACCCGCTGCACTGCTGCCAACGCTGCAGCCCACACTGCTTTGTATCAACAGCCAACGTCCCTACCCACACAGTCTGTAAACACACTATGCATTTCAACACAGACCTCACTCTAAATGCCCCTAGTGTTTTCTCACCTGTGCTATAGTAAAGCTTTATGGCTGTTCCCAGTCAAATACCACATAAGCCTCTATATATATACCACACTAAATGGTGCCTTTTTCCCAGATTTTGAAAGCAGTGGGTGGCCATAAATGGAAATAATGATTAGCTTCTTGACCTACTTTTCAGTAGTAATTGTGCCATTAAATGTTTTCCTTAAATAAGCATAATGGATATATTTTTTGTGTCTTACTGATGTGTTAATGCCTTTACACACTGAGGACGTGACAAATAAATAAATAATACAAAGATGCAACATAGCACACACTTACCAGGACAGGGACTGGCGGAAAAACGGCACCAGCTTGCAAAGCTCCTGGGGGTCTTGTACTCACTGGGTTTATCTCAGCTCTCTGTCCTGGGGCTCCTGTCTGGTCCGGTCCATTACGATGTATTAATACGATAAAACACCTAAGTCAGACAAGACAGACAGACAAACTAATCGAGGCGCCAGTAGACCAGCAACTCCCATGTTTCTGCAAGGTAAAATGACAGCATAATAGATAACAGCCTCAGTTCCTCGTCAGTAAATCCCACATAGCAGTCTGTGTAGAGCAATTTCCATCCAATTACACATTCACCTAGTCTTCATTATCTTTGTGTCCTTTGTCATATAATGAAGGGTGATGAGAAACATAAACAATCAACAGGTCTGCCATGACTTGTGACATGAGATTTATTCCGCACAATGTGTTTGGTTGATGCCTTAATTCGCAGTGCAGGAGCTCAGAAAATGGACCTTGATCAAGAAAAAAATGACGATGCTTTTTGCTGCGTAATCTTCACATTCTGTGTGAAAGCACTTCGAAAAAATATATCGACATGCAAATAAATTAATTGCAGAAAAAAACGTCCCCAGTGTGTAAAGGCCTTTTATAATGCATTTATTACTGTGGGAATGTTTTAGGAGTTTACAGTTTAGTAGCCAGAAAATAGCTTGCTGTGCACCATCAGATTGAATTTGAGTTAAGTTGGTCCAATAAAGACTAAAGAAACAAACATTTCAGGGGAAACAGATTATTTCCTGTCCTGGTTATAGGACTGTTTTATGTTCCTTGTGTGTTTCTGTCAAAATAAAAACACTTACTAACTTTCAGGTGTGTGACGTGTGTGTATTCTGTCTCTCCTGCATTTGTTTGTGCATGTGTCGTATCAGTATATGCATGTATTTCAGGTCACACTGTACCAAGCTTCTACGTTGCTGTAACTAGTCTGTTTGGAGCCTTATATTATCGTATTGTGTTTTTGCTCTTGTGGGGGCTTTTTCTAAGGATTAATCTGGGTAGCAGTCAGCAGGGCCTGAGACTGTGTGCCTTTTGCGTACTAAGTTGATTTACAATCTTAGATGTCCTGGATGAAGCAGTAGCTTGTCTTTTCACTGCAATGATCACATTTCTTTTCATTTCCTGTATTAGGCTCCTCTGATTCTCCTGTCACTGTTCCTTCTCCTTTTCTGTCAGTGTCCCAGTCTTACCTCATCCAATTTTCTTCTCATATTTCCTTAATATTTGCTTGTTATCTGAAAGGACTAGTTATTTTGAGTATGGCTCTGTTGCATCCTTTTAAAGACATAATATCATAGATACGCATGATCTGACAGTGTGCTGTCATCATTGCAAGGGTCTGCCCTTTTTGGGTAAGAAATAGCTGCATACAATTCAGTTTGGCTATACACAACAATGTGAGTGTCTGGAAAGGACTTTGGTCTGGAGAGTTACACTGAGGGCATGCCGTTGTGTTTATGTCAGTGTCCAGCTTCTACTAGCGTGTGATAAGATGTGTGAGTGCTGTTATTTATGGTAAGAGAGGTGCATGTTTTTCTATTTGGTGTGAGAGACGTGCCAACGTGCTAAAGGATATGTGCAGCCCTCCATCCCGTCCGCTCACGTGAGGTGATGGATGGTGGGAGTTGACACACTTTAGACGTGAGGAAATGTCAAGGATTCACACATTGTATTGGCACAAATATGCAGGCACACACACCACATCCTAAGTGGCTCAATGAGAACCTCTGATGTGAAGCATGTGGTGTCAAGTTGACCAGAAAGAACCATCTGCTTTGATTATTCTGCCTCCTTCACCAGTTTCCCCCCACACCATCTTATGTACTCATCCTGTCTTTCAAACTATGCTTAGTGCAGATTGGATTTAGTATTGGACTCCAGCAGTGTTTTATTGTGTTGACTGTTTGTTGTACAGGGACCTCTTTTCTCTTTTTTGTATATGTTTTTTGGGGAGCTTTTTCCATCTTTATTAGACAGGACAGCTTGGGAGATGGACAGGGAAGGGGGATAGATAGATAGAGAGAGAGAGAATGACACACAGCAAAGGGCTGCAGGTTGAACTCAAACCTATGGCACCCATCTTAGGTGAGCTACCAGGGCGACATGTATGAGAACAGTTAAAACAAGATATAACTTTA